TGCCGGAGCTGGTGGTATTGCGCAACGTATAGTTTTGAGGGGACATAGCGGCCAAATTCAGACATAGCAACTCCTTTTAGTGCTGTCAAAAGTGGCTTTAAAGTCGACAAATAGGTGGTGAGTGTCGATCCTTTTCTCGCGGGTCTTTTCCAAGATTTGGCGTATTGTGAATACCTGGTCTATGGTTTCACAGTATATTAACAGATATATGAGTAACAATTCCCTGAAATTTCAGCCTCATAACTTCATTACTTTTTGGTCTAGAGCAAGTCAAAGTTGAGGTATGCCAACGCGCTTGAAATATTTTAGTTCAATATGTAATAATCAAAAGCTTATTAAAATAAAAATACATAATAAATGTAACTTTAAAGTATTTTTTTAATTAATTTAGTTATTGTAGAATGAGTAAATGAAAAAATAAATTTAAAAAAAAACAAAATTTTTTTTCTTAACAACAGAATTGTGGTGCAAAAATTGAACATTTTGCATTTTCAATGGCCTAGGAAATATAGAGCAGCCCCTCGCCCTAGGTGCAGACTTATACCAAATGAAAGTTTGAAGTCTCAGCTTTAATTTAAAGTAGAGGACATATAGCAAAAGTTTGCAAAAGCACATTAAACATACAAAAAACTACAAAAAGTACGTAACGCGCACATTCTGTCGCTATACGTATGTTAGCATGCAATAGCATGTTTACAACTTTTTACTTTTATTTTTTTTAATTGTTTACTATTCACTTATTGTGCAAGAGAATAGTAATAAATTACATTTGTTTTTTGTTAGTTATTCAGAATTATGCTTTAAAGATCATTTATGTTTTAATAAAAATATTCTTGTTTACATAAATTTTATTTACGTTATTAATTTGATAGATAATTTTGTTGAAGGTCATTGACTTTGGGTTAGATAGTTGCATAATTTTTAATTTAAATTGATAGTGCAAGATATTAGCAGCAGATGTTATTAACAATGAAGTAAATCGTGTAAATGCAGAAATTCAAAATTTAAAAACGACAGAATTCGAAATGTTCAACAAAAAGTTTGCGATATCTCATAGTTTAACTATGACGATGATTGACGGAAAAGTGGCAACAACAGTCAGTAAGAATTGCTCGATGGCTGTTTGTTTCATATGTGGAGCAAAACCTACTGAAATGAATAATTTGGATGCAGTTATTTTGAGAACAAATTCAGCTGAAGCATTGAAATTTGGAATTTCGCCGCTACATGCTCGAATAAAATTCATGGAATGTATATTACATCTCGGTTATAATAAAAGTTTCAAAGCGTGGAGGACAAATAAAGATACAAAAGAACAGAAAGAAGCTGTTAAAACAGAAATGAAAAAAAATTTCAAATTAGTTCTGGGCTTAAAAGTCGATGTGGTGAAACAAGGCATGGGAACAACCAGAAGAAGATTTTTTGAACATCCAGAAATAACCGCTGACATAACTGGTGTAAATGTAGACTTAATTCACCGCTTTAAAATTATATTAAATACTATAAATAGTAGTAAAAATATAGATGTTGGTAAATTCCATACGTATTGCATGGACACTGCAAAATTATATGTAGAGCTTTATGGCTGGTACTACATGCCCATCACTGTGCATAAAGTTCTCATTCACGGCAGCAAAATGGTATCTGAGGCTATATTGCCAATAGGTTTGTTTGCAATTTTTATTTTTGAAAGTATTTTTTTAAACTTTATTTAATATTAACTTTTTTTTTTGCTACAGGAATGTTATCCGAAGAAGCGCAAGAAGCAATGAATAAGGAGTATAGAAACTGTAGGCTATTCCATTCTCGTAAAAATTCACGTATTTCTACGAATGAAGATGTAATGCCCTATTTGCAAATATCATCAGATCCTTATATTAATTCATTTAGAATGAGAAACAAATTAAAAAAATTAGAATACCATGATGATGTTAAAAAATTATTGATTGAATGAAAAAAAAATATTGTTTTTTTTTTTATTGCATTTCAATGGGAGGTGGGCGTATTAGTGGGCGTGTTATTGTAATTTTTGCATGAAACATTTTAAATGATATAAATTACAGTAATATCGAATTTGAAGGTTGTATTTAATATATTTTAGAAAATATGGCACTTTTTATGTTGAGGTAGTATGGGTGATGGGGTTAAAAGTGGGCCAAAGTTCAATTTTTATTTCAAATAATGTTTGTAACTATATAACATTCAAGTATACGAAAATTGAAAGTTATACCTAAAGTATTACGGACAATACGGCATTTTACAAATTTCGACTGTATGGCAGGTGGGCGTAAAAGTGGGCGAATTTTCTTAATTTTTTTTTTAAAAACTGGAATTGTCTCAAAAATAACCTGTGCAAAATTTCAGAGCTCTACAATGACTCCTTGTATTTAATGCCGGCGTTGTCTCACTGTGTGCCGTCGCCTGCTGAGTGCATATGCATGTATTTATGTATACATATAGTTACATACATATGTTCTGGAAGCACTTGAATATTGTTGCGCACAAATTCTTTTGCGCTGATTTACCATGCCAAAATATTCTTTGAACTTTTATTATTAGTATTTTGGAATGCAAAAAGGAAAAAGGAAACCGAATGATGTAGTTCTACATTCTATCCTCATAACTATTTGAATTTTCCACTGATACAAAAAAATAACAACCACAACTAAGCCATTTGCCTCTCCACAAAAACGCATCACTGCTGCTTTGGAATGTGTGTATGTATGTATGCGCATAGATTAGGGTGGAGCGAAAAAAAAATGAATTTTATGTTTTCAAAATTCGAATAGTACGGAAAAGTTGCGTAACGTGATCACATTGAATGGATTTTTTAGCAACTTGAAACTGGCATTTTATTATACTTAAGTGTAATGAGCTACAGAACTGCACAATCAAAATGTTTCTAGAAAATATTAAAAAAAAAGTATAAAACAACCACGATTTGGGAGATTTTTCTAAACAACAAGGCTCTTGTGGCGACCGTGAATATTATCCGATAAGAAAATGGTTTCAAACGATTCAGTATGATCATATTACGCAACTTTTCCAAACTTATAGAAGTTAAAAATCGAAAAATAGATTTTTTTTTCGCTCCACCTTAATGCAGTATAGTTTTCACATTCATTGCATCAGCAAGTAGCTAACACTAGCACACTGGTTGGTTTATTGCAAAAAACAACGACACATTCGCCTGCAGAGCGCTTTTATGCAAGCAAGCAAGCATCAAACTGTGTTGGCATCAGGGTAGCCACTCATTTTTGAGCATTCCCCGATTTCGACGATGAAATTCCCCGATTTTGCCAGAAATTTCGTAAAATTCCCCACCCATTCAGCTATGTATGTATTCAGAGACTAAACCAAACTTTTATAAAGTTAGTTAACAAATAAAGAAAAAAAAATTACATATAATGCTTACACACATATAGTGGTCGAAAAAATTTTAGTCGCGCCAAATTTTGACAAGTTTTCACAATTATCTTTTTTTGTTATTAATTTGATTTACATTTTTTTTTATAAAAATATAGTTAATTCATTAACAGGCATTGTGTAATTTTAATTCGATTTTCTAGAAAGATTTTGAGTATGCAGTTTTGTAGCCCACTCAATTCTATTAATGCAAGTCTAAAGTGGCTAAAAATTTTTGTTTTAAACTTTTTTTTTTTTAAGGTGTTTCGGTTTTCATCCACATAAAAAAGTGTGTTTATTCGTTATGTTAACACAAATCCGACAAGAAAAATTCTAAATCAACGGTTATTTGTATAATTTGCAGGATTGCATAATCAGTACTTTAGTTGCAGTTGCATTTTTTACCTCATTATAAAATCGGTGAAGCCAGAAAGAATAAACTAGTTAACACCTAATTCCTCACAAAAAGCAGTCAGTCTCTCGATTGTGCACGTAAACTGAAATTCCCCACAAAAAACGGCCCATTCCCCATGCAAACTCAAATTCCTCGCAAATCGGGGAATTCCCCACGAGATGGTTTCCCTGGTTGGCATGAAATATACGCTTTTTTGAGCTTTTATTTTTTATCCTTTTTTTTACTCCCTGTGCTTTCGCTCTCCAATACGCTCCGCTTGCCCTGCGCTACGCTTCTTTTACTACCTTTGTGGCATTGCAGTCATATATAGCATACACATGTGTGCCATTTTGGTGCTTTTGGAGCTAGATTTAGCTCTTTAGTTTTCTATTCAGCTCCGAAAATTGGGATTAATCTCATAGCTCTTTAAAAAAAATTATTTAGCACTTTCTTAGCTCCAGAAAGTTTTAGTTGTATTTGGCAATATATTAAAATTAACAAGTAAGAGCAGCGCTGTCTTCGGCTATGCCGAAGGCTTCATAACTTTCATGAACGTCTGCAAATTTTTGTTTGACAGATTACTGATTTTGAATACATCTGCATACATCGATAGAGGAGTTACATACTTATATAAAAAATCGCATCTAAACAATCAGAGGTATGGAAGATATACTTTATATGGCACCAATCGAAGTGATTTTCACTGCTATGAGATCGGTATGTAAACCGGTAACACAATTTATTGGGTTTAGTTTCCTACATAAAGGAGATATATCGCAAAAACTGGTATCTGAACAATCTGTGCTATAGGTGATAAAGCATACAGATACAGCATAGATTTTGGCGATTTTCTAAGTAGACTTTGTATTATTATTTATAAAATATCTTACGAAATTTATCAGTTTTAGCTGTTCAAATAAAGGGGTTTTACAGTAAAATCCCATATCTGAACAATCAGATGAATGGAAGATATATGTTGTAGTCACCCGATCCTTGTTATTTTCCCTGTAAATATTCTGTTAATAATGAGTGAAAATGGTGCGAAATTTCATGTTCCTAGCTGCATAAATGGAGGAGTTATGATAAAAGACCTCATATCTGAACAATCAGTTGTATGCGGGCGGCAGGTTATAGTGACCCGATCTTCGTTATTTTCACTGTAAGTTTTCTGTTGATAAATATTGAACACAGTGCGGAATTTCCTGTTCCCAGCTATATAAATGGAGGAGTTATAACGAAAAATTTTATATCTGAACAATCAGTTGTATGGGAGCTATAGGTTATAGTGAACCGATCTTTGTAATTTTCACTGTAAGCATTCTGTTTATAATGGGTGCAAGGGCTGCAAAATTTCATGTTCGTAGCTGCATAAATGGAGAAATTATAACGAAAAATCTCATATCTGAACAATCAGCTATATGGGAGCTATAGGTTATAGTGGTCCGATTCTTCCGGTTCCGACAAATGATTAATACATTATAAAAATACACCCACCTACCAAATTTGATCAGGATATCTCGAAAACTGAGAGACTAGATTGCATACAAACAGACGGACAGACGGACAGACGGACATGGATAAATCAACTCAGCTCGACGTCCTGATCATATAAGTATACATTTTAATGGGTCTATCTCTTTTTGTTCTGGTACTTACAAACATCGGACCAAAGTTATAATACCATTTCATGCTCATGAAAGGTATAAAAATCTGTAATTTCATTGTACAAGTGTTGAATAAAATTCCTTTGGCTTTGGTGATCTCAGGCTATTTTCGATACCTTTATGTTATTCTATTTCGATTAATACTTAAAAAAGTTGCATTCCTAATGCAAATGGCACTTAAGCAAAAAATTAAAAATGGGCAAGCAGGTCATTTAGTTTCTATCACGTGCGCGGGAGTACACAATCACCATACAGGGCAGTAATTCGAGCTCCGATAAGCTCAGACGGTGTATTTTCTCTCAGGCGGCCATGGTAGAAGAGGAAAGCCAAAACTTAAGCGTTGATAGACTTACAAATTTCGAAATGCAGTGAAAAAACATACATTTGTATTCACGGGAAAATGCAGACTCCACTATGAACTCTTAAATCTAGATTAAATGTAAAATGTAAAAGCAACTTTATGTCAACGAATGCTCAACTTAAAAAAAAAAATAGCTCTTCATTTTAGCTACTATTAGCATTACTTAGCTCTTTTAAGTTTTTCTTTTTCGCCCGATTTGGCTCCAAACGAAATTTTTTCTGGCAACACTGGTGCCATGAATGCGCATGAGATAGTTTTGTGCAGCTACACACACACACACACACAAGCTCATATCGAGAATTTTTCGTGAAATTCCTCAATGCACTGGATTTGCTGTTTTATTACTTGCAACTGCTGGCTCGTTTTTGGTGCTGTTCTATCTAGGTTTTACGAGCGTGTTGCTGATGCTCTACCCTAATTTGACTAAGGGCTTCCACACACATTTTCCACGTCATATGGGGTGTGTGTGTGTGTGTGTGTGTGTGCGAAGGAATCACTCTTTTTGTTTTACAAAAGTTTGTGTCGGTTTGCATTTTATTATACCGTTTCTTATGCACTCTTTTCCAATGCTATGCATGTAAATGTTTTTGCTATTTTTCGCCCAATGCATTACTGCATGCTTTATTGCAATTTGTCAAGCTTAAAATTACATTTGCGTTGCTCCTCAACTCAGCTCAGCTTTACGCTCGACAACTGCCTTAGTTTGCATGGCGATTGCTGCTTTACAAAGTTGCCAATTCGGCGGTTACGTTTTAATGGCAATTTGTACGAGACAGTGTCTTAGTCTGAAAATTTATGAGGGGGAATACGTATGTATATATTTTTTGTTTCGCAAGGCAACCTATTTTGGCCAAAGGTACAGTTACACCTAGCAAAAAATATGGTTAGGTGGAAAAGTGCTTGCGTTGCCACGTGTACAAAGCGTACAAGCTGCCCTTAACTAAAGAATGCCATCTTTACTGGGAACTTATTTGAAATGATTTCAAATATTTTAAAGAAATGATGCCAAAAATATT